AAGTAATATATTGAGCTACTATGATTGAAATATTAAACATTAAGTATATTCTGAAAAATAAAAAGGGAACAATGTTATTTAAAGTTAAGGAAACATGAAAAAGCAAAGAAAATGTTTTAAAAATATAATGATTAAGTTTTAAAACAAAATCTCTCAATAAATAAGTTATACAGTTATACATTTCCAACAGAAAAAAACACCATAATGTAGAAGATAAATCTGAATAAACTATAGAGAATACAAAGTAGAGCAATAAAGATGTGAAAACATAAGCAATTAAGAGAAACTGAGAGTCCGAGAATTTAGCTCAGAGGTCCCCTGCCTGCCTCACAAGTGCAAGGACCGCAGTTTGATCCCTGGTACCAGAGAGAGAGAGAGAAACTGAGGACACAATGAATAATTTAATATATATTATGTTAAAACCCATGAATGTAACCATAGTATATACCTACACTGTATCAGTAAACTTTTTAAAATTAATTTTATTGGTATAATTAATGTATACCATATAATGAGATTAATTGCTGGAAATGTGTACCTTCACATAATCGATCTTTTTTTTTTTTTTTTATACCGGGGATCGAACTCATGTCCGTTGCACTTGCAAGGCAGGCCACCGAACCGCTGAGCTAAGTCCCTGGCCCTACATAATCAATCTTAATTCTTATTTTTTTCCCCATTCCCCGGCCCTCCTTTCAACTCCTCCCTCCCTCTGTATCTACAAAGACTTTGTTTCCATTTATTTTCATTTTCTCATATTAATTCCATCCCCTTCTTTCCTTTCCCCTACCCCTCATTTCCTCTTCCTCTTTGTCCCTTTTTATTCTATTTCACATTATCTATTATACCTTTTAGTCCTTATTTACACTTTGTTTCTCACAGTAGATAAACTATTTGGTATTTACACATGTGTGTCCTATTTATATCACTTAAGAGTATCGCCTCAATATGCATGCATTTAGCTATAAATGTCCCTAATTTCTAATTTTTATGGTTGAGTAGTATTCCATTTTATAATTTTTTTTTTCTTTACCCAGGCTCCTGTTGATGGGCAATTGGTCTGCTTCCAAGTCTTAGCTTTTACAAATTGTGCTGCTATGAACATGGGTGCACATATATCTCTGTGGTATGATTCTTAAAATTCTTTAAGAAACATACCCAACAGGGGAATAGCTGGGTCAAATGGGACCTCCAATCCTAGTTGTTTGAGAAATCTCCATACTGATTTCCACATTGGTTCCACCAGTCTACACTCCCACCAGCAGTGGAGCAGTGTTCCTCTTTCTCCACAGCCTTGCCAGCATTTGTTATTGGTTGATTTCATGATGGCAGCCATTCTGTATGGTGTGTGGTGGAATCTCCACATTGTTTTCATTTGCATTTCTCAAATGAACAGTGATGTTGAACATTTTTTCATATGTTTATTTGCTATTTCTACTTCTTTGTCTGAGAAATGTCTGTTCATTTCAGATGCCCTCTTTTGGATAGGGTCTTTAAAGCTGGGAGGTCTGATTTTTTAAAGTTCTCTATATATATTCTAGATAGTAGACCTCTGTCTGAGGAACAGCTGGTGAAAATTTCTCCTATACTGTGAGCTGTCCTTTCACACTGTTGGTCATTTCTCTTAATTTTAACAAAAGGGCTGAGCTGAGCCCAGACAACTCTCAGAGTCATGAAAAACAAAAAGTGAACAGAGACAGGAAGTTGTCTTTGAAAACTGGTAACTGGCAGAAAACTATTCAATAATAAAAATTGAAATCTGGAAGAGAGTGAAGTTACAACTTTTAATGGAATAAAGAGAATATTTTAATTCAAACTTGAATTCTGATTTACGTAAATCACAATCCAAACTCAATCAGGTTTAAAATTCAAATTCATGTATTGGTGAAATCCTAAAAACATCAGCCCAATACCTTAATTTATAATGTATCCACTAAGCAGATGGCAGAAGCAAAATATAAATCCTCTCTGCGGAAACACACCTTCAGGAAGGATCTCAAAACAGTCCCTAAGACAAAATTCCCATGAACATGAGCTCACAATAAAAAATCATAATATATACAAGAAGCAAAGTTATATAAGCTTCAAATATAGGAAAGCAGAACAATAGGCACATGAACATCAGCATCAAATTAGAAAGTAAACACTGTGCCCTGTGGGAATGTAGTTTAGGAACTGTGTAGCCTTTTAAGTAAGTTATAAACATATGAACTAACCAGTGAACTTGATCTTGGACAATTATTTGCCATTAGAAAAAAAATTCCATCCTGTTTTTCATTACAAATGAAATTTAATCAGATGATTCTAAAAGCTAAATATAAAACTCAAAATTCTAAATTATTAGAAATATTAGAAAAAATATGCAAAATATTTAGTACCTTAGAAGTGGAAAATAGAAGTGGAAAAGAAATAATAACATTAGAGTTAACATCATAAAAATATTTAAACTTCTGTTCTATGAACAATCATTCACCAAAGTTCTCACCTCTATTACAAATTCCCATCATTTTGCAAGCAATAGAAAAATTCCTAAATCTAAAAGACTAGAAATATATACACATAGCTATAGCACATAACCACCAATATATTAAGATACAGGACAGATATGAAGAATCTTCCAAAAGACAGATGACCAAACTTGCAATTGGGGGAAACATAAGGATCAAAAAAGATAGAAATTGATAATGGTCACATGAAACAATCAGCAGCATAATTAATCATTAAGAAAATCATAATTAATATAATAAATAACCATAATTTCTTTCAAACTAAAGGGAAAAACCAAAATTACATTTAACAGTTTGCAGCTGTGGAATGTATAAAGAACTATGTTTGAGGTAATACAAAAATAGTATAATCTCTTGGGGAGACATTTTAACAATGTTAATTGAAATTCAAAATGTTAGTCAGACAATTTCACATCAACTTTTATCTATTTATCTAAAAGAAATATTGCATCTGAGAGCAATCATCAATCATGCACATTGTATGTTGCAGGGGTTGATTATTGGAAGAATACTGAATGCAAATTAAATGTTTATCATCTATGAAGACGGAACAGATTATGGTTCCTCTTGTAAAATATTACATAGAATTATAAAGAATTAGAAAATTCAGTTAGTATGACCTGGAAAGTTTATAAGATGAATTGTTAGTTTATTGTGTTATTTTAATGCTATACAAAGAGAAAGCATTATGGATTACTCATATAATTTTTTTAAATAGAAGAAAATACCCAAGAGAGTAGGCAGCTTTTTAATTTAGTGAAGTTGATATTAAAACATTCATAGTACACTGCTTGGCACACCTACATGCTTGAGAACTTATTCTAGTAAAACTTAGGCTTAAATTTTACACTAGCAAGGTAAACAAAAGTTATATCAAAATATAATAAAGTATTTGATAGAATGGGATACAATTATTTAAGCTGTTGAAATGGCCTTTTGTTGGTCATTTGATTATACAATTTTATAAAGTACTATTGTTTCAACTTATTTTCAATTTAGTGAAAGATTTTTAGAGATTTGCAAGTTTTAAAAGTAGAAGTAAATTATCTGTGGATGGGTTAATGTAAAAGCATATAACTAGTTTTGAACACAGCTCAATTTATGGCATTTGTTATTTGGAGAACAAAGTGCAGATTCTTTTTGCAAGATTGCAAAGGGATGAATTTAGTATTTATTCACTTGCAACTAAGCAATCTGGATTGTGTTTCTGTGGCCATAAAGGTTTGCTTAATTGCTTGCATTTCAAATGGCTCATTATAAAAAACTGAGACATTTTATGTGACATTAGAAGTTTTTAGTGGTATAATGAAGGCTCTCATTATATAATAACCAACAACTGATGGGCTGAATCCCTGTGGAGGCCAGGTTAAAAACTAGGATAAGAAATGAAAAACAAAGGAAGAAAGACAATGGAAAAACAGATTCTCCGAGGAGCATAGGCCTCTCTGTTTTAAAGGAAGAACATGAGCACCAATTACATGCCAAGTGTCGGCACCGGCAGTGGAAAGACACACAAAAAAATTCTCTCCAAACTCCCAAGTCGTATGGTTTAGCGCAGAATTTCTCAAACCACCCTCTAAGATGCATATCTCTTAGGAAAATCCTTAAAATGTTCAAACTGTGGTACCTGCCCTTATGTGGTCCATATTCTAGCATATTCTATTCATACTAATATTCTAGGGATGGTAGATAATAAGTACATAAACCCATATAAAAATAGGCAGTTACAACTTTTAAGATCAAAGAAGGAATACTGAACGCCTACATGTTGTCATGGGATTCCTAGGAGCAAGGAAATATTTTGGCATAGTTTTAAAAATTCAGTTTTAACTAGTTTTCAAAGGAATTAACTTTCCTTTCCGGAGAATGATTTTCTGATCTGTTAGCTAGCTACCAAGTGAGTGTGGAAGTGATATCGACTCACTTTTCCTATTGTTGTGTTTGTAAATCAACTTCAGCAACTCGTGAAGTAACACCATGTAGCTGACAGTTATTTCTGTGAGAGAAATGTCTCAACTGGATATTTTGGGTTTTGAAGGGTACAGTTCATACTATCCCAGGATATGGCAACACTGCAGAGCATTTTTAGGCTAAAGGAATTTGAGAAACATCATGTGCATCAAGAATATTCTCATCTTTCCCTGAAAGAGGTCAGAAGACCTTCATGTGAGAGGTGTCCTTCTTGCACCCAGAGGAAAGGAACATTGCCTATTTCCACAGTTGAAAAGGTACAGAGAAGAATTTGAATAAATTAGCTTTGCTAAGCTTCCACAAGTCCACTACATTTAGCTCATACCATGATTCTATCATATTTCTCTAGATTTTCTACCTTTGTTAAACCAAGCATAAAACACATACATTGAACCAGTTCCTTGAGGGTCTTCATAGCTTTACATAGTCTGCTGTATCAAGTACAAGTTTAATCAATCTGTGGGCTTTTCTCTCATTAATCTGTCTTTTGTCTAGGATAAGTAGAAGGAAAAGATATCATACCCCTTTTACATCTCATTCATCTTTTGCTTCCTCCAAACAATACACTTGATGCGTCTTCTGTACTCATCCTAACCTGAACATGAAGAGGGAAAAACAAGTCAAATCATAATTAGTCAAGACTTATAAAACAGCAGAATAGAAATCTCAGCTCTAGGTGTGTGAATAGGTATCACAGAAAAGGGGCAGATGGGGAATTATTCATCCCCCTAACACCCCCTTCCATAATCATTTTAAGAAGTACAAGATTTTATAAAATAGACGATGCTTAGGCGTCTTATGGAGAAGTTGGTGTTCTGAGCTACTAGCATTAAAGTAAAAGATAAAAGAATCCCACCACATCTCCAATGGCTTCCCCAAATGCAATCCCTGTCTCCTCACCTCAAAAACAACTTCTGTTTACATCTCTATAGCACGTTTTACACTATTATGATGTATTTGGCTCATTCATCATTAAATAGAAATATGTTTTCTGTGTGGCATACATAATCAAAATACTTGTTAATTTTTAAATTAGCTCGTTTTCCCACAGAAAAGAAATACTAAGAATCACTGAAGGTAGCTGTAATTTGTGAGAATACGGAGTATGGTCCTCAGACTCAATCTCATAAAATAATTGAGCACAGAATTTGGTGATGGGCGAGCACAGTACATCTTCTATTGGTAACTTACATGTTCTGCTACTTTGAAAAAAAAAGATACTTAGCCACTCCAACCTTTAATGTCTTACTCTTTAAAACAGTAAAGTTAATAATAACTACCTCCTAGGCATGCTGAAAGTATCAACTAAAATATTTCATAAAAATAACATCACATCACATTGCCCAGCACTTACAGTGGGACTAGTTCTAAACACAACCTAAAACAGATGTTTAGTTTGTCAGCTAGGGAAAGTATATACTTGGAAAATTTCTGTACGATAGACCTATAAGTCAGGTGAACTACTTGAAAAATATCTCTCTAAGATGCTTGCAAGTTCTTTGAACTGAAAAATGGCTAAATTTATCATTCAAGGCCACTTGTACTCAGACGGTTGGTACCTAGTAGACATTCAATGAATATCTTTTGGGTGAATAGATGATTTCTCAGGCTGACAACAAGGTGATTGTCTATGGGTTCTGCTTTTTTGAGAATAAATTAAAACGATAAAATTTGCAAAACATTGTATCAAATAGTCTACTACGACGTCCACATTGACATGGCTCATTGACAGAGTAACTCTCAAACACAACTGAGACTTCACTAGTGTGGAATATTGGGCTATCAGCCTAAGATAAAAAACTGAAACAAGACATGAATGGCTCTTCGGCTAGTTTATAAAAATGGATGAGGAAATAGAACACCCTGGAGTCAAAAGTTCAAAGATAATGAAGCTGACTGCTCTTGGTTTCCCTCTTCCAAGCCTCACTGCATCTTTTTAGATTTTTATTTTCCTTTTGCTTATTTTATCCAATTCAGTCTAAAAGTATCCCTCATGTGTATGCGATTGCTACACATTTTCCCAAATCCCAATACAAAGCAACAAGATATTGCTTAGAAAGATTTGCTATACTTTCTTACGCACAACAACAAAATGGACTGAATGCACTAAAAGCATAGAAGCAATAGTCAAGCAAAATAGTTTGTGACATTCAAATGATATCCTTAAAAACATGAGCAACTCAGGAGAGCTCAGTGTTCGGCTTTCAGGAATTCAGTCACTCAAATATTTATCCATTTATCTACGTACTTATTTATGTATTTATTCTGTGTTCTATGAAATGAAGATGTGAGTCAGTGCATTTACAACATGATACATCATTTTTGTCAAGATATCATTTAATCCTAGTATCTTCACTGGGATGTTCCAAACCCAGCATCTAATTTATACAGATGTTGTTCTTAATTTGCTTAAAGCCTACATGTAAACATTGTTGCATAATCCCTTGGGGTTAACTTTTGTCTCTATTTTGAGAGAGAGAGAGAGAGAGAGAGAGAGAGAGAGAGAGAGATACAGATAGGCGATTGTTCACAGCTTTGTACAAAAGCGAACCAAGAATCCTCACCTTTCTTTTTCTCTCACAAAGCAGCTAGTGTGGTACTAATTCAAGGCACTTCAAAAGGAAACAATGAAGCTTCTTCACAGTGCTGCTGGAAATCCTTATGAAAATGTTGTAATAGGAGGAGGAGAAAACATCACACAAGCCCATGTTCTGCAGCAAGGAGAGAAGGTTGTGTAGCTTCTTCTTGGCCATAGTGACACATTGTAGCTGGAGAGCTGTCTAGGGTTTGTGGTTAAGATATTGCAGAAGTAACTGTCAAGGGTAGAAAAGAACCTTGAAGTCATGTAGCTCTTCCCCAAAGAAAACAAAGCACATACAAAGTGAAGCCATCTATCCACTTAGAATGTCTTAAAGCAATGTTGTAACATAATCAAAGTTTGCCATCAGAATCTACAGTTTACATTTGCAAGATAACAAAAGAGGCATTGCATCCAATAAATGCCCTTGCAAAATGAAACTATAGTCCAACAATGTGCTAAAGTATTACTGTCTAAAATGACATGATTTTCTCCGTGTTTCTATTATTTCTCATTTATAATTCTCACAGTATGCGACACATTTTCACAAACACTTTGAAATCTATAACAGTGTCATCTATGCCTTATTGGGATAGCTATTTTTTCCAGTATGTAATGAAGTTATTGAAACTTTGAATTTTTATGATTAGGACATTCAGAGGTAGCTCCAAGGATGCATACAGGATAGGATGTGCAGCCACAAAAATATCTATTTAAATCTTATTGCACAGGATAGTTTTATCAGGAGGTTTCCCAATTAGAGAGACGAACTATATAACTGGTATTTTGAACAGAGAAAGCTTTCAAGAAAATCACGAATTATAATTAGAATGTGAACTGGCTGGTGCTTGACCATGAAAGAGTAAATAAAACTCTAAGGAAGACAGAAATAGCAGAATAGAGGTGGCAGCCGCTCACTGCAGGGTTAATGCAAAGCATTCAAGGAAGAGAAGCATCTGCAAGGAGCCCTTCTTCCGAGGCTAACGTCCAGCTCTCTCGTGGCCCTGTGGGCAGTGGATAATGTCATGGAGGATGGCAATGGGAAACTGACTAGGAAATCATCCTCCAGGGCACTGAGAGAGGTCGGTGGACGAGTGCCATATGCTGCTGGCCGCAATACACAGCAGGAGTCTGTCAGGAGCCTGATTCATATCAACCAAGAAAAGCTCCTCTTCCAGTACCCCTCCAAGGACTTCTACTATCTTGATGAAGATTATTCTTTTGCCAGCCAGCAAAGGAGACCTGTGCCAGTATTGTAAGCAAAGCCCCTGAGGGTGACTTTGGAGCTGAAACGAGTAGAGTGATCATGCACACAGTGGTACATCAAGGACGTTTAGATGTGTTATATAGTATACTTCTCACAACTACATTGCAAATATTCATTTTTATTTTTATAGCATGGGGGAAGCTATTTAAAACAGTTTTAATTGACTGTTTATAAAAGCAGTGTAGGATTAAGTGATTAGCCTGTTACCATAAAAATGTACAACTTACAATCTGGTCCTTAAAAGAATTGAATTTGACAATAAATTGTTAGGATCCAGTTTTGGAAAGTCTTTGAGAAAAATAATTAACACTCATGGATCTGTGTTTCTTCCTTAAGAAAACAAACACAATGAAACCACGACTTCATGTATTAGTACCTCACCTATTTTCTAGGACCTTTATAACAGATGATGACTTCAGCGTGCTTAGAATGCAACTGACACACACAATATTCATAATGCTCATTTCTACGTTATTGATGCCTTGTCATTTATCACTGTGCTACTCACTTCACTGTAATCTTAAATATATAAGGCAATATAATGAACTTACAAGTGTCCTGGGAAGAAAATCAGTTGCATAGAAGCCGCAAAAGTCGAGCTATACTCCGAGTTTTGCCGACATATGCGATACCCATCAGTAGCATGACATGTGCAGGACTATGGCCGGGAGAGTATTAAGAAGTGTCTCTAGGGCCGAGGATTTAGCTCAGCGGTTACTTCGGTGGCCTGCCTTGCAAGCTCAAGTTCAATCACTGGTACCAAAAAAAAAAAAAAAAAAAAAAAAAAGTGTCTATAAGCAAGCTAGCTGTTCCTTATTCATGTATGTGTAGGCAACCAAAAATTAATATATAAAAACTATCCATCCCCGAGGAGTCCATCCACTCTTAAATGTAGTTTTTAGTGACAACCAAGTGCAATCTAGTTAAAAACATACTGGATGATGCTTATTGTGCTTTGCTTGTTATAAATCTCATAAGCAGGAATGCTTGGGTTTTGTGGGGGACTGGTTCCAGGCGTCCCAACACATGCTAAAATCTGTGTTCCTGTCCGTTAAATAAAATAGCATGGAATTTACAGGTAACCTATGCAATGCACATTATCCTAGGTACTGTGAATCATCCATCACTGATAATATCTACTAAAATGTTATGTAAATAGCATTAGATATTTAGTAGGGTAGTAATTCCTAATATGATATTTAAATAGCCTTAGGTATTATAATAATGACTAAAATGTCACATAAATAGTTGCTCTAATATACTGTTTAGGGAATAATTACAAGAAAAAGAGTCTGTACATTTCAGGGCACATAAAAGTTGTTTGAGGAATATTTTTGATCCAAGGTTGTTAGAATCTGCAGATGCAGAGGGGTCAACTGTGTATTATTTTTCTAATGAAAAATGGAGAAAATTTCAAGAACATAAAAATCACTGATCTTGCTACTGAGAAACAAGGGTTTATTCCTTCTAGTTCCTCTTCTATATATGTACATGTATCAAAGCATATAAGAAATCTACATCTTTTAAACTTAGTGCTGCACTGTCTATTTTTTTATTATTATTATTGAGTTTATTGGTACATTCTAGGTAGGGGAAGGGGAATAAGGGAAAAGAAAAAATGTCTAATTTTATATTCTAGTTTTTTAATTCATTGAAGTTGATTTCCATCTTCTTTGACTAAGGTATAGTTTACATAGACTAAAATGCTAAACTCCTATATAAATGTTTGCAGTTAAGCACCTTAAATTTGGAGTAAGCATAAGATAATTTTAGATCCATATATTAGTTTTGATTATTATATTATTTCCTATAATTCAGTCAACCCATATATATATTCATGTGCATTCTATTCCTTTTATTCATTTTGTCTTCAAGGTATCAGATTTTTCCTTTTTCATTGCTGAGTAATATTCTGTTATATGAATAAGAATAAATGATAAGTCCATTGTCTTGGTTATCAATAGCTAGGCTCCTCATACTTGGAGCCTGTTAAGAGTACCACTACTAAACAAAAGAAAAGAAAGAGTACCACTGCTATATAAACCATATTGCATAGGCTTTTGTGGACATATAGTTCCACTATTTTAAATGGACATTAGGAAAGTCATTGGTTGATTTTCTAGGAAAACACCAAATGTTAACTTTATACACTAGTCAGAAATATTTAAGATTTCAGATCTTTCACATCATTCATGTTATTTGTAATCACTGATGTTTTAATTTTAATCTTTCTAGTGTGTCATATTTCATTTTAGTTTTAATGAACATTTGCCTGATGATGTTGATCATTTTTCATGTACATTTCAAACATTTTTATATCGTTTGTGAAGTGTGTCTGTTTAACAGCTTATTCCACTTTTAGTTGTCTTTTTATTATATTGCCCATATTCTTTACATATTAAAGGCATAAGTTCTCTAACAGTTTAGGTGTTCAGAATGTTTCCCCCTAGCAGAAATCTTGCCTTGTTAGTTTCTATACATATGATTTAATGAGAAAAATTTCTTAAATTTATCAATCCTAATTTATCATATTGTTTTACTTTATGATCAGAATAGCCCATGATGTCTAAATCTCTTCTTACTGTAGGACTGCAAAGTTATCCCTTTGCTCCCCTCAAGAAGTGTTATTGTTTCAGGGTTTGCATGTATATCTGTAATCCATCTTCAGTTAACTTGTTGTGTCCGGTATAAAATAAAGTCTATGTTCTTTTATTTCTACTTGTATATTTGATGAAACAACTTTTCTTTCCCTATAGAATTACTTTAGTATTCTTCTCAAAAGAATTTCACTATAAAAATATGGGCAGATTTCTCAGCACTCTACTCTGCTCCACTGTCATTTTTTTACTCTTTCACCAATATTGTTTTGATTGTTGTTGCTTTGTCATTGCTATAATCACGTACAATATGCCTTCCAAGTTTGATATTTTTTCAAGATTATTGTGGTATATATGTACATTGTGCTCCATATCCTTTGAGAATGAGCTTATCAATATTTTACAAAAACAAGAAATCTTACTAGTTTTGCCTGTAATGTTACTAATTCTGTAGTTTGAGAATGTATAACCTAAAAATATCCAGTCTTCCAATATTTATCATGCTATACATTTTCATTAATATAAGATTCCATAGATTTGCCTCGTGTTTAATTTCCAGTGTCAAAATCATTCATATATTTAATTATATGCATCCTAAGTATTATACGCTTTCATATTTTAGTAGACGTTATTATTATATTAGTTTTAGGTTCACAGCAAAATGGAGCAGAAGATACAGAGATTTCCTGCAACCCTACTGCCTTCATACATGCATAGCTTTTGAGGTTATTAAACCTTGCACTGGAATAATGTACTTTGTTACAGCTGATCAACTATGCCCGTCATCTAACGTCTGTTATTTCCATTGGTGTTTGCTCTCGGTGATACGCTTTCTGCAGGTTTGAACAAATGTTCATCATTCTAGTATCACAGAGAATTTCTGTTGCCCTGAAACCCCTCAGTACTTCCAAAGGGGAAAGGGGTGTTTCTGTTTTCTCTTCAGTCCCATATTCATTTCCTGGTGAGGGCCCCTGTGGTCTCCCCTCCCCTTCAAGTTTATTGGTACTTTTAAACCAAACAATACAGTCACATTTATCATTGGGACCTGTACCTTTACATGACAGGTCTTGGTTCTTATTTTTTTCCCCACATCCCTGCCCTCCCTTCACCCCCCGCTTCCTTATTTAGAAAGACTTTGTTTCTATTTTTTCCACATTTTTTCTTTTCCCTTATTTCCTTTCCCTTCCCCTTTCCACTTCCTCTTTAGCCATTTTCTTCCTTTTCATGCTATCACTTGTACCATTTGAACCTTTTTGCCCTTTTAATTTTTCATACCAGAGAAACTTTGTTATTTATTCATGTGTCCTACTCATTTCACTTAAGAGCATAGCCTCAAGTTGTGAGCTTCCTACATCCTGTTCTTCC